TATAGATCTTTATCAAAAAAGCTTTGCCCTACGCTAGGATTTTCTCCAGTGCCGTAGGTGCATTTACAAATATTCTACAAATATTATTTACATTTGTGTATGTGCCACCTGGACTCGAACGAAACAACAATATGTGGATAACACAATGTGTTGTTTTATGAGCAAATCTACTTAAAATATCTAACTACTTTTTTCAATTTGTAGCATAATTATAGAGCAAAATGTATATAGGTATTTAATATTTTTTTTTACAATTTATAGCAATGTTAATATTTCGCCGTTTGTGTAATAACACTAATCTGTTTTTCTTTGATGAAATACAAACGGAAAGTTCTGAATTTATTCCTGTTTTAATAATATAATTTTGGATAATAAACATTCGTACCCGGGAAAACTGTTTCAAATTCTTGGAAGATGGTATTTCCTGATAATGTCAGATTAAGATAATTTCTGTAAATCTTGTAAGAGGATTTTCATGGCGAATCGTTTAATCATCTGATTTGAATTATTTTTTACCGTTATTGTTACTTTTAACGTACTACCGATCCGCCTCGGCTTTGCACTGGTGATTGCCTTCGCTGAAAGTAAATTTCTCCACTGTTAAATGCATATTATTATACATACCAACATTTCTCTTCAATCATTCCATATTTCAAAGAAACCGCATCAAAATCCGTTGCGTAGTTTTTAAGGAACAAAGAGATACGGGGCCAGAAAAAACGCCTTTGTTTTTAACCGACTTCAAAAAAGGAGGAGGTACTCAATTCGATTGTATTTTTATTATGATATGTAGTGAAGCGATTATGCATGCATAATTTATTTTAATATTTAAATTTCTAATAGCAGTTAAACTTTTTTTTTAAATAATTACTTTATTATAGTATTTTATTGAATCAATTTTTTTTCTCAAATTATTCAGCCATTAGTCCCGTTTTACATTTTTCTATTTATTTTTAAGGTACCAGTGACTTGTAAGAGCCTTTTATATTTGTTATTCAAATAACTAAACAAAAAGGTTTGCTTGCTTGAAATTTAAATTTGGGTACTCAAGTGACTTGAATATCTTCAAGGGCTCTATACAAATAAGTCAATTTGAAACTTAACAAAAACGAAGGCAAAAATTGATTTAAGTTGAATAATGTTTTAAAATTCGAAGCTGGCAGATAATGACTAAACCGCTAGAATAATATAGGCAACATATGTAATTTGAAATACCAATGGGCTTTAATTTTAATTGAATTAATATTTTAAAGGTACATCAGATCAACTTTGATGCAACATAGATCAATTAATTAATTATTAGATTAATTTCTAAAAATATTTATTACAATATTTAATGCGAAAATACAAGCACATAAAATTTGTAGCACGAAAATTATTTATTATTTTTTTGTTTAAAAGAAAAAATACATTACAATCACTGAAAAAATTAAACTTTAACTAAAATAAAACAAAAAATAAGATATTTACAAATTAAAAATAATTTAACGTAACTGAAAAATATAACTGTTTGATAGAAATAATTTTTATAATTTAAGGGTTAAACAACTTGTTTGACCCAGTTCTCGAAAATGGAGATATCACACTGCATTGGAATCGAACTATTATTACTGATAGGACAATTTTTGGCAACAATCAAGCCATCGTACTAATTATGACATATAATTGACATATAGTATCAATCTCACATGACGACAATCGTGTAAAAGATGAAAACGATTATGCAAGTAAATATCTCGATTTCAATCGTAAAAGTGTCGACATGTGGGATCTAGACCCAGCTACCAGTGTGCCGATAGTTGTGTCTTCCAATGGCCCCATGGATAAAAGCCTCGACCAACACATGAACAGGCTTACATTAGATAGTTAGGTCAAGAACCTAATGCAGAACGCGGTACTTTTGGAACCTTCAGTGGTATTTTCTGGAAATTCCTTATTTTACTATCTGATAGGTTGGCAAACGAGCAAACGGATTACCTAATGGTAAGCAAATAGCTTTAAAAGGTAAAGCAATCAGCGCCGCCCATAGACAACCGCAACAAAGGACGAGTTAAGAGAACGTTGCCGACTTTTTGAGGATTAGGGATTTGGAGATTTTGTCATTGGGGAGGAATTGGGGGAAGGAAAGGATTGGGACCCGATAACCTCACTCACTTGCTGAAACACAACGCTGTGATTGTTTCACGCCAGTTTTTTCTGTGAGGCACTGGTATTTATCCATTCGTGCCGAAGCCTGGCTCTCTTTTACTAGGAACCGTGAACACAGATGGCTACTTACACCATTTAAAATTAAAAAAAAAACATATATTGAAATTGAATTAACAAAAAGTATTTCTATGTTAATAATACTGATCAATGCAAAAGCTGTAATAAAAAAGTGTAAAATTCTTAAAACAATGTAACACTTAAAATAATAAGAAGATATATCTTAAAACAAAATCATCTATCTTCCTAGAGTGTGAACTTACCGAAAGCACCTCACTCAAGCAATTTAGTTACAGGTTAAAAAATAAGGTAAATTGAGGCGTCGCTCAGGCGAGACTAAAAGGGTTTACACGAAAACCCACTATATAATGCTTACTAGAAAAAATATTACGCACTTACCAAACTAAAATCAAACATTAAGGATTTTTCAGTAGAAATATAGATTTGTTCCAGCTATAGATATAAACTTGAACTGTGATTCTGTTATCTACACGTTTAGGACTTTTAGTGGGGTAGGTTCTCAAACGAGCATGGATCACCTAATGAATAGCAATTGGCCCTATCTATGGACACCCAGACAGAACACCGAATAATTTACTAGTGTCTTGCCGGCCTTTGGTTGGTTATTGTTGGCCGTTTGTTTGGGATTTCAGGATTGGAGATTTATAAATGGAGATGGGAGGATTGAGCCTCGGGCTTAAGAAAAATCAGTTGCAGCAATATGGTATAGTATAATAAAATTCGGTCATAGTGGTCCGGAGGTTAAGGAGCCCGCTTCAGATCCATGAGGGTTCGAAACCTGGCAAGTACCTACCAATGTGACTTTTGCCGAGTTATATGTACTTTCTGTGATTATTTAGACACCACTGATATTCGGTGAAGGAAAACATCGTGAGGAAACCTGGACAATTATATTACAATTTTGAATTATAAGTTTGTAATCGCCAATCCGCCTTGAGCAAGCGTGGCGGTTAATACTCAAACCTTCTCCGTGTGAAAAGAAGTCGTTGCTCAGCTGTGGGCACTAATAAGCTGATGATGATGATTAACTGTGTCTTACTATATTTTCTTATGGGACAGAGTAGACAAATGACCTTATGGTAGGTAATCTATCAACGCCGCTCATATTATATTATGTTTGTAATACTAGAGGAGTGGAGTAACAAGTGCCTTGTCGTCCTTTTTGAGGATTTGGTGTTCGGGCGGCGGGGTAGATAAGTCCAGTAATCTCATGCCCATGTTGACGCAATACAATCATGGTCTTGGGTTGTTTCAGCCAGCTTTCTGTGTACCCATGGGACCTACCGCTTCGTTCGAGTTGGCCGATTTGTGCCAAAACATGGCTCTCATATGATTAATTTTATTTTTTACTCATTGTCTAATAATAACGGTTGAAACTTATATTAAATCCTACCTATGTGTTATATATTCAAGCTACCTATAATTCGTTTACAACCCACCGTAGCGTCATCTAGCGGTAAGACACCAAAATATTTCCTAGCAACGCTGATCAACAAATTTCACTTATTTTTTGGAGTCAGTTGGTTAGGAATTTCTGATCATAAACAACTTTGTGATTGTCTTTCCCTAATTGAGGTTCTTAGCTTGAAATCTAGAGGTCGCTATTCATTTATTTCTAGTAGTCTGGATAATCTAGATGCCACAAATGTCCCCAAGACATTATAATAAGAGAAAGACTTTTCAGGTTTTTGTAGTATATAATATTAAATATTAATAAAGTTTTATTTAAGACCGTACAGCAGTCCATCTTAATTGAAATAAAAACTAATCACTAAATTAAAATCAAACAAATTTTAAAAAAGCAAGCAAATTAAAAATATCTTAATAGTTTTAATTTCCAGTTCTTAAGAACACTAAACGTATGAATGAATAGACCCTTTTCACAAAATAATTGGAAAAACAATATATTGTAACTAAAATTTCTTAAATAATCTTTTTTTATTATTTAAAACGCGACTGTTGTGATGTCGTGGGATAGTGCGGCAAACGAACTTTAAGATCGCCTGATGGCAAGCAATCAGCGCCACCTATGGACACTAGTTACAAGTGCATTTGCGACCTCTAAGAGATTAGGGATTTAAGATTTTCGTGGAAGGGTAGAAAATAAGCCTTCATTAACCTCACTCACACGGCAAAAAACAACGTAGAAGTTGTTTCACCCTGGTTTTCTGTAAGCTGTAATATTTCTCCCGACAAGTCATTCCCTTAAATTCATGATAAATTACTATAGATTTCGATTTCAAATAATCTTGGTGACTTTTTATACCTACTGAGTTAGTTAAACATAACAGCAATGATCATTGTACCCCATGCGAGTCCGGGGTTGCGGGGTAAGCGCAATGAGGCACCGCGACCTCGGCCCAGAGCAGGAGAAGGAACAGGGGGATTTTTAGTCAGTAAGAGCAGGACACTCCCTCCCGCCCGGCCCTGGATGAAGTCATATGATGATTTTCCCCTTACAAAAAAAACCCCCATGCGAGTATTGTAGTACTTAAATATGCTAAACTGCTCCTTTTATTTTCTGGCCTTTTCTTAATAAATTTTATCAACAACGTCGCAGCGACGGGCACGCTGAGCATGCCTTGATACCTACTAGTAGAACTTTTCTTGGTTAATTTATGTGACTGAATCGTTATTTTCAATAAATTAACTAGTTTTGGTTGAATGCCATTAGTTTACACGACGAACTTAAATCCTATCGATTTAAGTTAGGAGAGATTAGCTTAACTACATGGGTGGAACAAGAAGGGAATGAATAAATGAAACGATTATAACGTCGTATTATTTATTTTCGTGTGTGTTCCAGCCGCCCGGTACATATACGGGCAGCGTGTACTCTTTACTTTAAATTCACGTATGTAACGCTACGTTTTACCAAATTGTCGAAATACTGATATTATCCGAGGGACCATCGTCCCGCAACACAAACGTACAGCGGCATCAACTTTGAGAGAATAACACTTGGCCATCTCTTGCATCAACTGTAACATCATAAAATCTAACAATAGAGAAGATTCTTTATAAATAGATATAGAAAAACACGATATTCTAAACTTTAAAGATATAGGTAGTCGTATCGAGTTTGTACGTAGGCCAAATTATATAGGTACTTCCTTATAACCGAGTATCGTAACCTTGCTCTATAAATGCTGTGTTACCATCGGTTTGCATATAAAACTCTATCACTGTGTACATCAACAAACAAACAAACATAGAAATCAATGAAATTGTTTATCTACATTAAAATATATAGCATCTATCAATTAAATCGTTATATTCATTTAATTTGGAATATATCTAGTTAAACTTTTAATCGTTAATATACAAGATATATGGGCGGGCAGATATCAAGTCAATGAATATGTAACTCTAATCGTGTATAATAAGTTTTTATTTTCAATAAATTAATTTTTATATACTTATAGATGGATTCTAACAAGTGCTAAAATTACAAAGACGTTATAACTGTATTACATTTCATTGGTACCTAGGTGTGACGTTTCGAAACCTAAGTGTAATCTCTCAGAATTATTGCCCCATCGAAGCCAACTTAAGCTGTGCGCCGTAGTCACTACACACTACCGCCGTATCGCGGCTGGCTACAGGACTGTCGAGCGACACTTCAAGCCACTCACAACATTTAGAGCTTGCTCGCATCGCTAACCTTCTGTTATACTGTTTCTTTCATCACTCGTCTACAATAAACTTAAGTAGACCATTGCTTTTCTTTTTTAACCCTTCAACAACAGACCTTCTCAATCTTTCTGTAAATTACTCAGACAGTGACGGCGAACAATCGGTATAACAAAACGTCGACCACGCAAGCACCCGTACAGCTATGAATCCAAACACTACGCCTTAGTCATGATTAAATGTGAACAATACAAGTCATGATCAATCGTATCAAAGTCTAAAATATTACAATAAAAGGCGATAGACCTACTGCCGATTACAATGTCTTATGATTACACGTGTATATTTTTAAACGAATTTTCGTTAAGCTCATAATTTTACTAGGACGAGTAAGGCGCAGCGAGTGGAAGCCGTCGGTCCCCATTGCCGGACAACTATCGTGATAACAGTCACAACTAGATTTTCGTCCTTCAGACCAAAAGGACATCAGAAAAGACTCAAATATCTTCAAAATATTTTTATATAAGATCTCCCATCGAACAAAGAACTTATGGTTGTACTACACTAAACACGTTTCTGATCAATATGATCCACTGCGATCATCCTCATTTATCTAAATTGAGTGTTTAAAACCCCTCTATTCTCTAATATTTAATATTAATATTTTGCAATAGAAATCATTTTTCCACACGTATATAAATAACATCTAAAACATTGAGTGTCCAGCAATACGAACCGACAATCAAAATCTTCATGAAGGCGACCGTTCGATTAATACAACCCGTACGATCGGTTAAAATTATCGCTACATATTGTCATCGATTTTCAGCCTTCATACAAGATAATGTAACTATTTATTCGTACACGAATTCCTTTATAGTATTAGTTATGACTGACGTCAGAGGCCCCTGCGAAGAATGAACTGAATGAATGAGAATTAAGGGAACTCGTGCACCAATACTGATATTATATAAATTTATAGAGGTACAGCAAGGCGAGGTTCTCCAACGAAGCCCTAGTCATTATTACAAACGAGGAACAGGTACAAAAAGTAAAAAGTATCAAAAACATTTTGTGTCCCATATCAGTCGTGTTATTTGTGCAATGCTATTTTTATAAACAGTTAATATTTAATAACAAAATTTCGTCTTGAAGTGTCGCTCAAAAGTAATAAGTAACCGTGTAGCCTCCGACAGACATATAAACAAGTGTATAATTAATATGCTTTCTAGTATAAATGGACCAATCATGGCAGTGAAAGTAGGATCAGTGCTGTCATTGGTCGATTTCTCCCACTCTTATATGTCTAGCAGACGCTAGATAAGAACTGAGGTTATGTTTTCGAATTTCGAATGCTTAAGTACAATTTTGAATACGGTACAGTTGTATAGTGAATCCATTTGAACATTCAGCCGAATTTCGAACACAGCGCCCCTGATCTTGAGAATGCGACCGATCCAAACGGATTAAATTCCTCTCCTTCATAGAATTAGCGACTCGTAAAAATGCGTTCTAATACTATATTTAATTAATATAATAATATGTTATATATTTATTACTTTATTAAAGAACAGGGATTATTTGAATAGTACTTTAACATTCATAATAGCTTTGCGTTTCTAGACGTTTTCCAATATGCCACGAAATCGCTCGTTCTACGACGGATAGCCTTCGAGTCTACGAGCTACTCTGATATGGTCTCAGTCTCAAGACAGTCCGTACGTCTGATCTATGATACACTCTCCCTACTCGAGCTACTGACTTGTGTCCGTCGTCGATACTAACATTATAGTGTATTATTTATTTTAAGGTAAATCGTTTAGTTTGGTTCTCATAAGTCTTATATTGGAAGCTGATTTGTTTGATGATTCTAGTCTGGACATTCACTTGATGGTTTCGATTCCGTACACAAGTCTCTGATATGTGGGATGATGTGTGTAGCGCCGCGGGCCGCCCGCCGCGGTCCCGCCCGACTGGTACAAAATTGGAGCGTACCTACATATACGTTTATTATATACAATGTACAATACAATACGATAAACACTATAGTGGCTACGGGGCGGGACGCCGGCGGCCGGCGAGGCGAGTCACCTCGCGCCTCAGCAGGTATACATTCTCACAGTAATATACATCGTAACTCGCTCTATATATAACAAACATTACACGAACGCGCACCACGCTCGTCGAATAAACAACATAATATACAGCGGAATCGTAGCACTCTTTCGATTCGATTAAAAAAATTGACTAGAAAATCTCAATTCGCTACGAGCACTATGCGTGCGTGGAGGACGAGGAGAATATGTCGGCGGCGCGCCAGGCCTCGGCCTCCTCCTCCGCGTCGTACTGCTGCAGGAACGGGTTGGTGGAGCTGTACCGCGGGCTCAGGCCGCCGCCTGCCACGCGCCCCGGGGAGTTCAGCGTCACGGCCAGGCCCGCTGACGTGCCCGGGATCACGGAACGCGGAGACTCGCGGGATCCTGGCTCGCGCGGCCCGTCCCGCGGGGTGTGCTCGCGCGACGTGTCGCGGGGCGTGTGCTCACGAGAGTTGTCGCGCGGGGTGTGGTCCCGCGGCGAGTCCCGCGGGCCATGCTCCCTGACGTCCCGCGGCGTGCTAGTCCGCGGGGAGTCGCGCGGCGAGGCTCTGGGAGACGCGCGCGGAGAAGATCGCGGCGAAGACCGCGGTGATGCAGCGCGCTCCGGTTGCCTCAGTATGGAGGACACAGATCCTCCATGTTTAATAGTATCCGCAGGGCTGTGACTGCCGGAGCTGCTACTGGGTGAACCTGGAGAGGATACTGTCACCTGACGGGACCGAGGTGGAGCGGGCAGAGGGCCTCTGAGCGGCGACTGCGGACGATATTGGCCTGCCCTGACTGATGAGAGAACCTGCAAAATATATAAAAATAACGATTGGCCTTTGCTGAAGAATAAATAATTGCATTTTACACTTAATTAATTAAACATTTTCATAATTACAAATTTACATCCTATCATATCAAATTTTATTACATTAAAGGACTTACATGTGCGGGCGGCGAGCGGTCTGGCGCGGGCCGACCCGAGAGAGCTGGCGGCGGAGATGCTGCTGATGCTGCCACTGGAGGCCGATATGGACTGACTGAGGGCGGAGCTCGGCCTGCCGACAAACACAACGTACAAACATCCTACCACGCGGCTTATACATAACTGTAGACTCTCAATGTCATGTCAAGGAGGAGATGATAAGATACTCAACAGGAAAATGATTGAAAAAGTGAAATGAAAAGTAAATTGAAATCGACAAAATTGGGTAGGTACTAGGTACTATTGAAGTATTGATTTATATTGAGTAAACTTGTTTTGTTTATAGTCAAGTGTTCTCCTCGTGTTTTAAGGTATAATATTGCTTATTGTAGTCGTGTTAAGGTATATTATACCTTGGGGGAGCGTGAGTGAGGCCGCTGGCGACGCACTGACTCTGTTTCCACGCGGCCCGGTTACTGACTCGCCGCGCCGAACTGTCTACAAACATACATGCGTTAAGGTACCGCTTAGCCTTTAGACATTCAGTGTTCTTGTCTAGTGTATAAGTATAGTAATAGAATAGCTAGTGCATGCAGAAGAAGGAATTGGACAACTAAAGGGTGCTAATGTACGCGATAAACTTTAAAATATAATTTTGGTCAAGCATAGACTTCAAAGATCCCCCTCATAAAGGACTGTGGTTAAGCCTTTGGGGACTTCGGTTAAAATCTTTATTTTAGAACGTAACAACTTAACTTATTTACTTTTAATAATTTTACGTAAGATATGCCTCATTATCATTATCCTTTTAGCAATTATATTTTCATTTAATTATTTAACTGATTGGTGTTGAACAGTCCTAAAGGTGGAATGATTGGAGCAATAAATTGAAGATAGCAACGTGCGAAGTGAATGTTGTCTAGTTGTGTTATGGGGGTTGGCTTGGAGTATTCTAGTGGGTGCGTGCGTTTATGCTGACAGTCAGCGTTGGTAATGATGTAAAAAACAACATTATGAATTAGGTTACCCTCGTTTTTTATTGATCAAAAAGGTACAATTCAAGTTGTATAGCGAACGTAATGTCCAACTTAACTATACACAAAGTTTGTCTGATGGATCAAGATTATGGCAAAGGTTATTAAAGTATTTTTTTTTGACATAGGTACAAAAATAATCTCTTTTAATATGAAAAAAACACTTTCAGTAATCAAACAGTCAAAATTAAAGCAACAATATTCAGAATGTTGTTTTTTACGAATCAATGTAATGTGAAAATTAAATCGGGAGATGACATTACCTGAACGTTTAGGAGCAGGCCAGATCTGGAGAAGACACTGCAGAACGTTGATGGACCTTTGATAGTCAAGTTCTGTCGGTGGTTGAGAATGGAGCATTAGAGGTGGTGCTAGAGCCACTGCAAGATGCTGTGGAGACATCTTGTTACGATCCTGAGCTGCTACCACCAGAGCCAAGTGGTCGAGTAAGAAGACCAAGGTCGCTCTTGAGGCTCGCGGTAGTAACTCGACTACTGAAGCCATCAGTCGAGCGTTGCCTTCCCTGTCATCTGGGAGACATATGCCTAAAAATAAATAGGTGATTAGTCTCATAGATTCTGATGATAAAATCGTGAATAATATTATCAACAATAACAGTGGGTAGTTTCCTAGGTCAAAAATAAATTCATTCGACGTTTCGACGTCTACAATAAAATATTGAAAAATAAATACATTTTTATTCGTCGAATATTCTATATTTTTTAGCTGATTTTTAAGGAATAAGTAAACTATATGATGCAAAAATACTATGAAGCCAGGATTTGGAGTTTCATACCAATTTCGTTTCGAAGTATCCTTTTTGACATTTGTATAAAATTATTGAATAGTAGATTAGTTGGAAGCTACCGTATTATGAAACCCAGAAACTGAGCAAGTGAGCGTACTTCCCTACTAAGCCCAACAGAATATTAAACCCTATATGTCTTTCTCTGGCAATGAACTTGTAACAACTCGACAAATAATCGCTTTAATCGTGTAGACTGGTCTTTTCATATAGATACTAACCTAGAGCATCAAGGGTCATCTGATACATGCAGCGGCTGAACAACGGTTGTGGCAGCTCCCGGAGGTAGTCCTTCAGCAGACCAGTAATGACGTTGATGTCTGGCACCGAGTCAGGCGCCAGTTCCACGCCCCGAGCATTTCGCTCAAACGCTTCCCGTAGAATACGCTTTTTACTTGCCGATCCACATAAACGATAAAGTCCTGGATAAAAAACGATTTCATAGTTAAAAACAAGAGACACGATTGAAATAATGAATCATAATCGTGGGTTTATCAAACAACTGCAAAATAACCATCAAAAACTGTTAAAAGTTACTGGACTTAATCAAAGAAAATAGTCTTATTCGTAAAACTGTATGAAAAGTTGTATGACCAATGCGAGTACCATCCATTGGTCAAAACAACTTTTTGTAACTAGTCTTAAAGTAATAAAATGTCTTACTCACCAATGATATCCAAGCCACGCCTCTCAATTTCTTCAACACACCGCCTCACTATCAGTGGCACAGGGGGTGCGTGTGGTGGACGTGGTTCCCGTGCGACTACTGTGTCCAGCTCAGCCCCGAACAGCGCAGAGCTTCGAGGGGGCGCTGGTCTTCTTCGGAAGAGATCGTGTGGTTCCGTGTGTCTCACACGAACGTATAAAGTACCACGAGGTTCCATCTGGAAATACAATTGTATGAAAGCTTCAACCTGATGGCTTAGTTACATTGAGCATTTTCTAATGATTATACTTATATGATATATAGTATATGAATAAGTCAATATCTATTAAACATGATGTCATGTAATGATAATTACCTTAATAGCCAACTGATGAGCTGGTGCGCGCGACAACAAGTCAGGCAAAGTAACAGCGCCTCGGTAGCAGAGCTTGTGCCGGTGTTGGGGGTCCCACGAGTAGACCAGGACATCCAATTGCCTATTGTCAACTAGATCCAGTTCGAAAGATTCATCCCAGTCGAATTGTAATTCGCCCGTGCGAACCTACAACGAACAAAATGGAATTGTAGTCCCGTGTTGCAGGCGTTATAAGAATTTATTAATTCAAGACACTCACCACAGTACGAGCTTTGTGTACACGGTCACATTCTAGTACGCAATACAAGTCTCTTGGTGCAACTGGGGGTTGTGCAGGTGCTAGTGGACCTGATGGTGGCGATCCTGGCGATGCTCCTGACGGTGATGGCCGAAGACCACGTCCAGCTAAGAGATGCACCCATAGCATGCCCGAGATGCCACCAGACAACCGAGACAAACCAGTCATCGAAGCCGAAAGACCGCCAGTCGCTGGTTTTTCAACTTTATACTTTAGGAACTCTGTAAAAATGTTGAACACATATGTAAATTTAGAGTTCCCGTATCTATATACCAATATATTTTACATAATATTTACCGCTAGGATTAATATCAAGATGCCTCTGATGTCGGGAGCCAGGAGTTGGAACTGGGCTCGGGTTGGGGCAATTGAAACGAGATCCTAGCTCAAGCAGCTGCCGGACCCGACGAGCTGAAGGAGAACCTCCAGCTCCTCCTCCAAGCTGCTGCGTTGCACCCAACTGCTGTGATGACACTGAGCGGGCAGGTAAGTGCCGCGGTCTTTCCACTCTACGACCTGCAAGACCTAGTGATGACCCGAACCTACTGCCACTTTCCATCTGAAAAGAAAATGTATTAATAAAAGAGAAAAATATCAATAAGAGAGTGCTTACCGAATACTGAGAAAATTCTTACGTTTTTGAGCGCATCATGTATATTTTCAGCTGAGTAATGCGTAGGAAGTCTTGGACGCAGTGTCTCGTAGAGTGCACTTGTAGAGGGCGCTCGTGACAGCCACGCTCTATACTCGTCTGAAGTAAATACTGAAGGAGAAGACGGTAAACGACCTGTACATGAAATTTTGCCTTAAAAATAAGGTCTTATGAAATATTCCTCTTTGTTAATATATTTACTCACCCCTGGAAGAACGAAGATCTAAACGAGAAGACAAAGGCTCCGGCTCATCTTGTAGAACACTTCCTGCACGTCTACTTAATCCCAACCTATATGAAAGAACAAAAAATAACAGCTTTAACTTATTTTTCACATCAAATAATATTAATGGAACCAATGCTTACCTTTGACCAGTTCCTCTTACGTCTCTTGGTAAGGAATTAAACTTCGATCCAATGTCCCTTCCCAAAGTGCTACTCCTGTAACCACTAAGGCCTGAGTAATAAGGAGTTCTAGTAGGAGCCGTAGCCTCAGTGTCTGAAGAGTAGTCCAGACTACGATTCCTCCTAGCTGTTCCGAATTTACTACTATATGATGGCAGACCAAGTCCAGTGGTACCATATGCTCCACTCAAAGTGGAGCCAAGTCCCGTTCCTCCTAATCCTGACCCTAGCCCAGAGCTTGTCAAGCCTGAGCCAACTAGGCTTGAACCAGTGAGGCCACTGAGTCCTGTTGTGGAAAGGCCAGAAGGAAGCCCGGGGCCCAAACTGGTTCCAGTCAATGCTGAATCTGTTAATCCAGTGCCTGTCAGGCCAGATCCTGTCATTCCTACACCACCGTATCGTTGATTATATCTTAAGCTTGACGCTGAAAGAAGTTTTTATAGATAAATATGATTTCGTACAGGCATAAAACATATCTTCAACAGTTAACATCAGTTTTCTTACCTCCTGTCGCAGCAGAGGCCTTTAAGCTAGATCTGAGCAAAGAGTGTCTACCGAAATCGGAATGAGTTTCTGCTCTAGGCAACTGCTGTTCCGATCCCGATCTTGGAACTCGACCACCAAACCGCGTACTGAAATGAGAAGATAGCAAATAAAAAGTGTTTTTTTTTTTTAAGAAAAATACTTAATATTAGTAATGTACAATAAAACTTTTAGTACCTATCATACCTTCCGCTGTCAGCAGGATAGAAAGAATGAACCTTCTCGGCCAAGCTGTCCAAAGTGTTTGGATAAGATCTTTCGTACGGTACGAAATGAGTCGCTTGAGACTTTGGTTGCTCCGTGATTACCGGTGGTGGAGGCCTGTAGCTGAAGACAAAACGAGAATATTAACTTTGTTCTTCATCAGTCCTTAACAATGAAAGTATTGATCTTACCTCCACGTAGAATGATCAGATGACGGTCGTGGATTGTAATATAAATCCAATGCCGTTGAATCCGGTGACAGAGCACCGAGTTGTATCCGACTTCTTTCTTCCCTTCCATCGCCAACTGGCCGAACTCCTCCACTGGGACCGGTAGATCGTAGAGTCCCATGTCTGGTAACATTAACAACAAAAATTAAAGTTATGAATCAAATCATATTAATACTTTATCTATTTATAGCACATTTAGAAAGATGGCTAGACCTAAAGAACAAGAAATTTGTAAAGACACTTTAAGCTATTGTAACAGGGTGTCCCTTGACAACTCTCAAGTTATTATAATTTAATCTATTTTCTGTGTAGACAAAAATAAGTTATCTTTCTTTAAATGACTATCGATTAAGTGAATTTCTCTATCTTTGGCATGCTGAACTTCTTTCTTCTGTACTTCAGAAGTACGTATACTTACTGCGAGTAAAGCCCATCAACCCTGTCCCGGTCTCTCTCGTCGTCATCTCGACAGTCCCTCTTGAGCACAACAACTGGCGGTGGCTTGTGCTCTGACCTCGGCATCGATGGAGAGCCTGGTCCTGATTTACCTAATAACAACAAAACTAAATTGAATTTGGTGAAGTAATTTTTACTTAATTTGGTATATATTGCTCTTAATAATTTGGGATTTGAAACTTCTCAAATTATCCCAATTATGTCGCTCGTGACATAAAGTCGACCAGACGACCTGACCTGAGTCGGCTTTCCTCACAATTACCATTACCATTGGTCTACTTCATCCCAAATCTATTTTAAAATTACTATCTTCATACAAACCTTTCCTCTGTCTCGTACATAACAGCAGCCTCCTTGGTATCGACATTATAATAACGACATCATCCAGTGACATTCTCCGCACATCCACCAGATTCACCGCAAGGATCTCATCGCCAACTTTTAGGCAACCGCTGTTATAGACGGCAGATTCCAGAGCTATTCGAGATATGAACACTCCGTCCGTCCTCGCTCCACCATCTCCTTCTCTGATATATAGTCCCAATGTCTGGCCAGGACGTTTTACAATTTCGACTAGTTGAACTACGTGTCGAGAGTCCTGAGAAAGAACAAAAACATTAATTATTAAATCATAAGCAAAGAGGAGCAGGAAGGCCTAATGATAAATGTTAATGTAAATTGTAACCCCACATTGTAAAGTAGAATGAAAAATAGAACACAAACACATTTTCATTAGGTTTATCGAAATCGGGCAACAGATGCGTGCAGTTTTCAATTCGAAACCAATCTGACACCTAACGACAATAGTATTGTATTGCACAAAGCAAAACCGGCGCAATTCAAGGAAACCGCAAATGGAATAAACCACAGAATCTATAGCGGACAATATTACATAGCTGTGGTATGAGCCGTACTGCACATCCCAACAATGCTGGTCTAAATTGCGTTCACATTCCCTACGATCTAGGCCAGCCTGGCTCGAACAAAAGGGTTCACTAGAGTAGCGTTCTTTCACAGTGGGTCCCGTACTAGGTTACGAGCAGACTATTCGGGTCAATGGAGCGGGAAAATTACCTGAGAACACTGGTGTTTTTTAAAAAACTAGTCTTAAAGTCTCAACGTCACCTCCACTTCCAATCACAGTTCTAAACTATTTTAAATATTCATGACGCCATTTCTTTATAAAGAACAGTGACATGATTGGAGTAGGTATTTTATTGTTGTCTTCTTTTATATTTTCCAATCACGATATTCTAGTTCATTTTCATAGAAGTTCGTGCTATGACCAGTATTCATTGCGGCTTACGATTTGTTTTCAATTTATTTATGTTAACTTCGCTATTGTATGTTATGGAAGACGTTGTGGTTTATGCAAAGTTGCTCCGGCTTGAGGTAAAGGTATTGTTACGAACATAGATTGTTGTAAAGTGAAAACTATTAACCGTTCTCAAGTACGGAGTAATACAAGTTAGGCTAGCAGTAATTACAGCTCTACTTCAACCGACTCTATTCAAATGTTTAAGCCAAGAAGATTATTTCTTTTTCCGAGATATATAATTATTATTTTTTTAATTGCTATAAACTAGTGCTTGACTGCGATCCTACATGATGGTAAGCAGTGATGCAATCGTTGATGGTAAGGCGCACTAGTTTATTAAGAGCCTATTCACTCTAGCCTTGAAGACACCCAAATTATATTTGGACGGAAAGACTGCAGCCGGCAAACTGTTCCAATCCCTCGATGTACGCGGTATAAATGACGAGGCAAAGCGCTTAGTCCGGGCCGCAGGTGTCTCAACAACGTAAGGGTGGATATTTGCCGTACGCCGGGATGTCCGAAGGTGAAATGGGGATGGCGGAAATTGATGTTGAATACTTTTTAAATCTTGAAGGTTGTCTAGAAAGAGATATTAACACATAATTATAATTATTATTACACAGTACCTGTAATGAGAAGAACTTCTTGGCGGCTTCAATATTGTTACGGCCCACTTGTCTGATTTCAAGAATCCGTACGATCATCTCGCCGCGGCGCTCCACCGCCTGAAAATTTAATATATCACATAGGTATACATACACATGTGTCAGTAATGTATGAGCAAATATTTGTACATACTGTTTATTTTATAGTTGTGTGCGAGTGAAAACTCTGAATTCTACAAAATATTCTAAATATTGTAAAAAAAAAAAAAACAATTTTAAAACCAGCCTATAATAAGCACTCACTACTGAGCAAATGGCTCATCTTACACGGAAGTAGGAAAACTAATCAACAATCTTTTTTTTTAAAAAAAAACAGCCTACCCTCGGATTTTCTCCTGTGTCGTGGGTATGGTTACAAATATGTATACAATTTCACAGACACATGACACCCAGACCCGAAACAACATTTGGTGGATCACACAAAGAGTTGTTCCATGTGGGAGTCGAACCCGCGACACACGGCAACCAGTTGCCCAGCCACCGCACCAACCAAGGCAGATAGGCTCAATTTGAAACTTATTACTATGACGTCATCACATAGTCTTTATTTAAATCCAATTAATATTAACATCAAAACATTTCGCTTTCAAATATGCTCTAGAAGCAAAGAATCTCAATCCTAAGAAAATGCATTAAATAATGCGGTACTAACCTCGAGCGCCGCGGCCGTGGTCGAATCGTGGTCATTCTCCACCATTTCAATCTGCCTGAATATTTCATTGCTCACTCCTGATACCTGTGTTATAGAAAATAAATGGTTAAAAATTATAGAAAACTACACAACATTTTTTTTATAAATATCCAAAGACAAAGAATATACCTAATATGTCAAAAAAAGAATATTAATTAAGGCGCCAATACATAATTGTCAAGTTGTATTCGGTCACAGATAAATAAAGAAAGATACCTACATTCTTTGGTAAATTACTTAAATATGCCATTAGTTTTGAGTAAAAAAGAAAATTTAATTTAAAAATTCTATTCAATGTGTTATTTTTTTTCCAACATTTTAAAACGATATTATTGGTTCCATTGTTGATTTTCATTCTGCATCTGTTCCATTTTTAAACATATTTTGAACATCATATTTCGAAATCGACACTATTTTTCGGATAAAAGTGGCAAACGAGCAAACCTATCACCAGACGGTAAGTGATTCATGCAACACTGGAGTAATTGCATATTCTTTACCAGACGTTTAGGGATTTGAGGATTGAGGAGGGGAGGAATTGAGTAACCTTACTCTTGCAGAGAAACAAAAATAATGATGTGATGTGAAAGTCTAAACATTTTTTGGTTAACTTTTTAAATATAACATTATATTCTCTATATATAACATTATGTTATCTATAGAGTAGAACCCTAAAATTCACAATGATACCTTTCGGAAGTCTGGCTGCAGCACGCAGGGCGGCGCATGGTTGGCGCGCGGCGGCTGAGGCGGCCCGGGCGGTGCTCGGCCCGGCGAGGCCGTCAGGTCCGGCGCCGCGCGCCCGTTCTCCTGTAACAATAGATATTAATATAACATTAATATCATGATCAACGTATCAACTGACTCCTTCCAAAATCAAATTTCTATTTGTTATTTAAGCCCTATGAGGCTATTTTAGGATATAACCTAGCCTATGACACACGGGACAATTTAAGGATTCCACCGATATACTATATGTTTAATTCTGCCCAGGCGTTTGGAAGTTACAGTGGAATAAAGAAATATCATTTACATACGCACATGAACCCTAGAAAAGCGATATAAAGGCAAAACGGTGAAAAATTATCAAGAATACTGTGAAGACAATCGGTACTACCTAAACTCGACACGGAGAAAATAATAATCTAGTTGGTTAACATGATTGTTAGTATAGGCAAACTTGTAGACGATCACCGACCAGATGATCACCACTGATGGTAATCAATCAGCTCCGCCCATGGACTCCCGCAACAGGAAAGGAGTTATAAGTAAGGTGCCTACTTTTACAAATTGTTAGAGATTTGAGCTTTTGGCTTAATAATTTGTAAATCTTTATACATTATATAAAAATGGATCCCAAAATGTGTTGGTAAGCGCATAACTCAACAACGCCACGACCAATTTTGCTAATTCTTTCGAAGGTTCTTATCAAAGAAAATATAAGCAAAGTAGAGGGGAAGATTAGAAAAAAGTGACCCTTAGATAGCGAGATAGTTGGACCCGTGCGAAGCGGGGGCGGGCCGCTAGTAAGATATGAAATACAACGTAGGCGTTATAGCACGCCATTCAGTGAGACCACCGTATCACTCCAGTTGAGCGAGCTCATTCGGGATGAATCATGGCTCTCCCACACTTAAAGTAAACTTTAAGTGTGGGAGAGCCAGGTTAATTTTGGTAAAGTTATTCTAACACTGAGCACAAACGTACTGAATTGTAATATTTAAGAAAGTTTAAAAGTAACAGCTTCTTTTCTCGCCTTTTCTTCCCTTTCGAAACTTTCTTAACCATAACTTTCTTAGGTAAGGTCTGCTAGTGACATTATTAGTTATTTTATAACACATTACCCAACGCTAAGTATATAAAAATATTATCAATAGCAATTTTGTTCCGAAAATCGAACCTATTTCTTGCTCGGTAAGTCGCAGTTTCATTTTATTTTTATCGATCATTGTACTTCGTCTTTTGGTATAAAAGCTTTTAAGGTCAGCTGTTTGTACTTATGTGAAACAATTGTTCATCCATTGCAAATCAGCATGCAGAAGGTTTGAGCATTAATTACCACGCTTGCTCAATGCGGGTTGGCTATTTCAAACTTATAACTAATTAGAAATTATAAGTCCAGGTTTCCTCACGATGTTTACCTTCAACGTATGTCAGTGGTGTCTAAATAATCATAGAAAGTACATATAACTCGGAAAAGTCACATTGGTACTTGCCAGGTTTCGAACCCACACCCTCATGCATGAGAAGCGGGCTCCTTAACCTCCGAGCCACCACAAAACGCTATCTATCTATCGCTATCTATTGCAAAGCCCAGGTCAAAATACACGCAACTTTGCAATCTCATTATCGCAGAATATCTCTGAAACATTCTCTATAAAACCATATCTTAATAATCAAGGATATTTGATACGAAACAGAATTCATATTGTCTATAAATATATAAACTTTCACTAAAGACTAAGAATTTTTCGTCGATCTGTTGTCGTTCAACCAAAAACGACAAAAAGTTAGCTGAAAACCATTGTATCCGTACAGTACAATGTACTACATATAAATAATTCACATATATGTACTAAGGGTGACAAAAATGCATGGAGAGCTTAAGGTCGACTATTGACTGACAGGTTTTGCATAACGCTACCATTGATAACTAGATGGCGCTGCTTTTAAATGAAAATAACCCTTCAAAGCTTGAATACTTTACACTGCAGAGGCACACAATAAGGTTTTTAATGGTTAAAATAATAATTAAGAAACAATAATATATTTATATTCAAATACACATGAATTATGTTAATTTTCTCATTTTCGAGGACTTAAATAGCGCCATCTACGTCAAGTCAAGCAAACCAATTAAAATATGGCGTCAATAATTAATGATAGACCATAATAAAAGTTATAAACTAACCCGCATTTTCAATATCATAAAAAATGAGATCGGTAGCTCGGATAAATAAGAATGATAGAATAATGAAGTCAAAGGGCACCGGTTCAATTCCGGGTTATCATTTTTAAAATCAGGTTTTTTTATATATTTTTTTATATAAGATCAATAATAATAATATATAAATAAAAAATTTGACGTTTAATATTTATAAAAGATAACAAAAATAAATATATATATTATTTTAGAATAAAATTATATTAATAAATGTATATAAATAACTTTTATAATATGTGCTAACTATTAATGTAAAAGTAACATATTTTTCTTACAGATTAAGACTAATACTAAGTTTAATTCTCATAAAGGATAACAAATAAAACTATTTTAGTAACATTATAATTTCAGACATTTATTTCTTAAAACATAATATTTATTTCTTTCTTATATAGTGTATACCCTAACCTAATGACTTTTCAGCTAACTGACACATTATTTATTACACTTTTTATAAGATTAATAAGTATTTTAAATCAAAATTGTGTTGTGCTAGTAATTTATTAGTTAGTTTTAAACACAATGTTATAATACGATTCTATATGATATGCAACCTTACTTCTGCAACTATTTTACCTCCCCATAAAATTTAATTAAAGTATTGACTAAAGTGATTCATTTTGTGCATCATGTTATGACATAGGCTCATAGCTTAAGTATTCGTTCCAGAACAAGGAAGAAATTGAAGCTAGACCTTAAATCAATAACATTTCTAATACCGGGATATAGCATTCACTAGATATGGGACGAATTGTTAATAGTAGATAATTAATAAATAAATAATTTATTATTTTGCAATCAATAGCATCTGTAGATATTAATATTGCTTTTATTTTTATTTCTCATATTTAGTAAAACATTAAAATCATTACTGTATAACAGTTGCTGGTTATAAAGTAGTCAATAAATTTATCCTACTAACATTAAGTTTGAACATTTATCCATTAAATAAATTATAGCTACCCCGGTCTTGTAATTGCTTAATCCTATAGCCAACAATATCTTTTCTTTTAAGAACTAGTGTAGCCGCCATTTTTATCGATCTCATTTCTCCTATCTCGCTGGGCAAGGAATAATCCGTATGTCTGATTGCTGACTAAACACTTGCACAATTATGGAACATTACACATAGGATAATTTTATTGTCCTGCACGAACGTTATCACTAGCACATCTTCATGACGTCTTTCAGCACATCTCTGTAGTTTTCACTGTTTGCATCACTGAAGATGACAATTCTCCAGTAATTTCCCTCATAACCTTGCCCCATAAGTTGAAGCTGGTCTGAGTCAATATCACGTCTTCTGCCAGATCCACTACGGTGCTCCAATGAACCCTCTTCTTGAAACAGCTTTAGATATCCATAAAGTGGCAGTCTTTACCTGTAAGGGACGTGTATTATTTATTATTTTCATGTATCGATAACCATGGATAATAAAATAAATAACAAACGGTCATTTTAGAAGAATACTTACGTTTAAGCTAGTTTCTCTAGAAATTCCAGTATGATTTAAGCTTTGATTATGCAATGCTATTATTTGGGCCCTCGTAGCCATATCAATATTTGAACGCAAACTCATAATAAAATAAATATTAAAAACTTGTTAAACAAATCGTGACTGAACTCACTCAAAGATAGTAAAGAATGTTATGATTGAACAAAAAGGTTTAATTTTTAACTAGTTAATATTAAATTACCCTCAACTGTTTTGAGATTTATATTCGGGTTAAAGTTGCTAAACAACTTCAATATAATAAACAGTAGGATAATTTCAATACATTTCAAGGTTACGCAATGGCCTAATGGCTAGTGGCATCGGTTAATTTTATGCTACCGAGTTCGAATCCTGGTTATTGCGTGCTTTGCTTTAAAAAGGTTTGGAATATCGTAGCAATAATTTGTATAAACAATTATTAAGTTAATAACTTTGTATCTGATAAAAACTATAAATGTATATTTTTCAATACCACTAGTATACTAGCGCCATCTATGTCATCCATGGTATATAATTAAGGCGATGAAACGCCGTACAAACGATTTTGATTTGGAATCATCCATGCACTTATGACACTGATAGTACATAGATGTAAAAATAAATAACAAAAACTACATTACATTCCGATTCTCAATCCTTAAAATTTAAACACAACAGACAGAAAACGGAGCAAGTTTCTACATCACAACAAACACTATACCCCGGACTCAAGCCAGCTCTTCCGCTATTTCCTAGACCCCGGAACAAAGGCACAACGCTTACATATAAGGCACGTCCTATTGTTGATGAGATAAGAAACTAATTAGCATATCTTATGAGTTCGATTTTCTAACTCGAAAAGGCCCTTTGAACGTCTTAATATGATATTAAATACGTGCTCCGACGTTAAACAACGAGGATATTAGCACGTGAAAGGAAAATGTTAAATTATTTTACATACACAAATGTATAAAATGCCTAATATATTCTATATGAGAGTATGGCCTTAGTAAACGGTACATTCTCTCCCTACACGTGTCAGTTTGAATATTATTTTAACCTTTCAATAGTCCTTATTTAAAACAATATGTAGGTTCAATTTTACTAACACCATCTGTAAGGGAATGGCATAACCATATTTGTGACAAGGTAGTTTTATGTATTGGCAAGGTAGTTTTATTATTGCGTTGTTGATCTATTATAGATATCATACTACATAGAGTGTTCAAAGACTACACTGACAACAAAGTCACAATAAATGATTAAAATACTTTCAAAAACATTTCTAAACTAAAAACAATAACCTAACCGCAGCCTAACCGAAGAAACTTTCATTTAAAATTCAAAGGTAACGTCAAAGAACGAGTATAATGTATTGTATCGAACCCTTTTCATTCAAATATTATTACACTGCAAACAAATATGGCCGCTATTCTTATTTCCTTCGTTCTTCCGAGGAGCGTAATATTGTCACATTCCTTGAATGTGGAATGTGAATGTGGTGCGAAGATATCGATAAGAAAGAACCATTTTAAAAATATATGGACTGCAGAGGTTTTCTTTTTGAAATGTATTCCCTACAATGTAGTAACGTATTTTAAAATGGTTTGATGTTTAAATGTATCACTATAACGCGGTTGAAACCATTCAAATACCGATGAAATATGATTGAACTATACCGTTACATTTGCTGAATAGTTAAAATGTTTGCTTATTTATAGATATATAATAGTTTTCTCTTGTTTTATAAAATGTAATTCACTTTTCATTTAACTGTCCAATTCATAGACTAAATATTAATAAATAAACATGAAAGTGAATGAAAACAGCGATTGACGTCACGTCATATAACTTCATGAATGATGAATGAAAACTCAGGGTGAAGTCAGCTGCAGCATGCAATTATTTATTGGATTTCTTATTTAAATGATAAAAATAGAATAAAAAATATCAATGATAAACATCATATCACATCATCACTGATAAAACTATTTAAACAAGGTAAGTCAACGTTTTGGTCGATGATATAAAAATGGCACTTAGTCTGGCTGTTATCTGCTTCTAAAAAAGAGTTTTATTTAGATAACAATGGTTTTATGTAAAATTGTTAGCAACAACATTTTGAGAAAACCTATTAATGTGAGAAATATTCGTAACATTATCAAATATATAACTTGATGATTTTAGTATAAAACAAAGTCATACGAGCCTATCATATAATATAACATTAAGAAAACCAAACTGTCGGATATACGCTCCTCTTATCAAATCAAATTATGATTTGTCGGTCTATCATTGTCGTCCATCCCGTGATTCGTTTGTGTGAGCGTTAAAATTTTTGGCGGTCGATCAAGTGCGGGGTAGGGGTTCGAGGGGGCGGGGCCCTGACCTACTTCCGAGGCACCCCTGCGCCCCTCTCGCGTACGCATGAGGTCACTGTACTGCAGTTGCAAGCCCCCAAATACCGCAGGGTGACTGGACTCATCCCACAACTGTACTAGCCACGCAGCAGCCAATTGTATGCCAAAAACCGGGGAAGTAGAAAGAAATATGTACAGTCATGTGTCAGAATTAAAATTCGATTTAGGTTATCTATGGACGTTTCAATTTTAGAATTTTATGTTGCGCTATCGTCACGAGGTCGTATGTGTAGTGATAACGAATTGATTATTTTTTGACAGATCTGATTTTGGAATAAATCAGATTTCTAATCTGAGTGTGGCAATAAATAGTCAAAGTGTTTTTTTTATAGAATCGAAGGCAATCGACCAGACGATCACCTGGTAGTAAGTGATCTGCACCGCCCATGGACACATGCAACGCCAGAAGAGTCATAGTATCTACGTTAAAAATTATATTTCTTTCTTCATTTAAGAATTCGATAATTGCCATTTCAATTGGACCACATAAAAAGATTTTTGAAATCTACTGCATACAAAAGATAAAACTGCATCTGTATAGCAAATAGCAATAGACTCTAGTCACTAGTATTCCAGCGCTACGCTACATGCAAATGTCTACGACAGTTAGAATGCTACGAGAAGCTACGAAATTCGTAGCCGCGTAGCAAAGTCTATTTTTTAAACATTCCTTTGTGCTCTTTACATCTTTACACGACAATGTGTTTGTATGAGCTCGATTTGTTCAAGTTACTGAATAACCTACGACAATGGAATAAATTGTGTGGAATAACGAACTTTTCTTAGAAACGGTACTAACGATAAGGACGGTACTGGTTTGTAGGAACACAAAATATTTGTGTTTTATATTTCGTTTATAATGAGACATTTTATTTTGAAAGAAGCACCATAAAGTTGTTTACGTCATTGTGAACAAAAATAGTATGAGAGTTAATGGTACTAAATTTAGGACTACGAGTGTCTGTAAACAAATACATAACTCTGGAAGAAAATTTCCACAAAAAGACGATGTAATAAATATATTTATTACGCTACTAAATAAATTCGCACCACACAATAGTACTAACGAAGTAATGACA